CCCTTGTGCACAAGTGCGCTCGGGTATAAAAAAACAAAAAAAATTCGATGGGTATCGATAGTGGCGAAAAACAATCGATGGTTCATGATAGTTCCAGACTATCGATAGTCCTATCGATACTATCGATAGTCCCATCGATAGTTTTCCAGCTCTACTATTTGGTTATTTTATTTTGCCAATTTTATAGGTTTTTAGGTCTTAAAAATCTGTTCCCTGTTTATCATATACAATTGTGCAAAATTACTTGATAGGGCATCATAGCATAAAGGGGAGATCTTTGCGTAGATGATGGTATTCAAATACTACTACTTACTAAATAAAGGGCCAAATTTACAGCTTTCGTCTACAAATGCTTATAATAACTCTATGAATACAAAAATTAAAAAAATGTAACAAAAATATATATTTTATTCATAAATGTGTGTTTTTACGTAGTATGCGTAGATTTATGTAAATCAGAGTATAATTTCCTTATTCTTGTGAGCTGGAAGCTCCCATATTCGTTTGTATAAAAAACTTTTCTACGGTTTGCGAATCTGAGCTACCGAAACTCTTCCTAAATTCGCAGTAGTTCGCAAATGCGAGCCAATTTGACAAAACGGTTCCCGATTTTAAAATTAGGTAAAAACCGGATAAACTGGTTTTTAACCGACTACAAAAAAAGGAAGGTTAACAATTCGTCGAAATATTTTTAACGGTACTCTTAAATTTTTATACGAGAATCGAAGTCGGTTTTGTTTTTTGCTTAAAATTTACTTGTAGTTTACATAGTTTTCATACAACCAAAATGCTTATGTGGGCATGAAGTCATGACCAAATATTACAATAAAACTTTTAACAGCAAAATAAGTTCAAAGCTTTTTTTAGATAAAAACTAAAACGAATAAAAAATCAGAGAAAAATTCACTTTAAAATTAAATTATTGCATTTTTTCGGACTTATTTCGGAGTTGAGTGCTCGTGCCGCCGTAGCTGAGTGCTTAAATGTGCCTACTGCCATTCGGGAGGGACATGGTTCAATATCTGGTCCCAGCAATAAAAAAAATCAAATAACGGTCGCCCTTCCGCAGACACTGGTAAACCTCTGAATTTACTTCAGCCATAAAGAAGCTTCTTTGGAGGTGGATTAAAATTGTAGATCTCCCCATTTGTGTCACAACATCAAGAAGCAGAACCCGAATCGAAAGCGAAGCTCGGTCAAGCACGTTTTCTACGCGCCAAAAACTCATCTAGTTTCTTAAATTGGAAAAAGCCTTGAAAACTTCGAAAAACTCAAAACTTTTATTGCGAGGTCAAGGTTTGCATGAAATAAAAAAAACCGGTTTGTTCAATAAAAAAATACGGTTTATTCGATATTCGAAAAATTAAGATTTCAAAAATCGCCTATAGGTATCCAAAAAAACCGTTGGAACCCAGTTTGGAAAAACCGAGTGAATCACCCTAATATGTACTACTTTGTGTATCTAATTTTATAGGACTCGACATTTATTAGGCTCGCTTGGGTGGAGGCTTGGTGCATTTTGTTTCCGTTGTGAATGGTGGTGTGTTGGTGCTGAGATTTACGTTGTTGCTCTCTTTCTCTGTCGCCAATTTAATGCAATAGTGGCATAATTCGCACTTGACCGGCACATCCAAATACCAAAATGAACTCGACAGGCAGGGCAAACAACTGTAAGTAGCAAGCAACCCCCGCCACACACGGCTCTAGTGGTGGCATTGTTTATGCGGCGTTTGCATCCATATTTGGTTATTACAACTATGTTACATACAAAGATAACAGGTTATCCCTGTATGGCTGGCCATACCTACTCATTTATTTTAATTTCTCATTCTCTTTACACCGGAATGGTCGTTTGTTTTGTGAGTGTATCAGGAATTAAAAAAAAAATGTACTCTAATGCTACTGAGAAGGCGTCTTACGCAGATGTTGCATGTAGCGCTGTGCATTCAGTTACATACAAATAGCGTTCGGTATGGTACGGTCGGCATTTTCTTTCAGTTGCTCGTTTTAGTTAGTAGTACGTTACTCGCTACTTGCAGCAATTGCGTTATTTTGTTGTTTATCCAAATGTTATGATGGTGCTTCATATTTGAACGTTTTAGGGCTGCGGGCGCAAGCGACTATCTTTTAATGACAGTTTGTTATTGTCTTGATTTGTAGGGGTAGTGATAGTGATTGAACTTCTAATTACGTGAGAGGTGCGAGGGTCAGTTGAATTACTTAACATTTTTAAATAAGTGGTCGTCGATTACAAATAAACAAATAAAAATGTTACCAACTAAAAAGTTAAAATTTAATTTTTTCATTTATTCCAGCTGTATTACTTGCAATAATTTAAAACCATCAATTGAATACAGTTTTTTCAACATGGCGTGGCGCTTCAAAGCATCAAAATACAAGAATGCCGCACCAATTGTCCCAAAGCCGGAGGCCTGTATCCGCGACATTTGTGTTGGGTCCTATCAGACTTTCGGCAACAATATTGCCGCATCCGCCGCATTTATGGCTTTCAATTGGGAGCACACAGGATCCAGTGTTGCCGTCTTGCCGCTAGACGATTGCGGGCGCAAGAGCAAAACTATGCCGCTGCTGCATGGTCACACAGACACTGTAACTGACTTAGAATTCTCACCATTTCATGATGGCCTCTTGGCAACAGCGTCACAAGATTGTCTCGTCAAAATTTGGCACATACCTGAAAAAGGCCTGGAGGCGTCACTCTCCGACCCGGAGTGTGTTTTTTCACATAAACAACGCCGTGTAGAGACCGTTGGCTTCCATCCGACCGCCGATGGCTTACTGCACTCCACTGCTGTGGGCTGTGTGATGCTATTCGATATAACAACACAAAAGGAAATTTTTTGTGAGTGTGGAAAAATGTGAAGCGCTTTGATTTACGAAACTAATCAGCATTTTTTTTTTGCAGCCAATAACGAGCACCCCGAGGTCATACAATCAGTTAGCTGGAAACAGGATGGCACAATCCTGGCTACAAGTTGCAAGGATAAAAATGTGCGCATATTGGATCCGCGTGTCGGTGATTCGCCCATTCAAATGGCTGCCGAGTCGCATCAAAGTATCAAAGATTCGCGCGTCGTGTGGCTAGGCAATCAGACTCGAATTCTTACAACTGGTTTTGACGCAGCTCGTCTGCGCCAAGTGATCGTTCGTGATTTGCGTAATTTCTCTGTGCCTGAAAAGACAATGGAGCTCGACTGCTCCACGGGCATACTGATGCCGCTCTTCGATCCGGACACAAATATGCTGTTCCTTGCGGGAAAAGGAGACACGACTATCAATTACTTGGAAGTGAGTGACAAAGATCCCTATCTGACTGAAGGTCTGCGTCATACAGGTGAACAGACAAAGGGCGCTTGCTTGGTGCCAAAGCGCGCACTCAAAGTAATGGAGGGCGAAGTGAATCGGGTGCTGCAATTAACCTCCAACATGGTTATACCCATTATGTACCAGGTGCCACGTAAGGTAGGCAGGGTGCTCAAGAAAATAACGACTAGGACATAATATTACTGCTATATTTTAATTTTCTAGACTTATCGCGACTTCCATAGCGATCTTTATCCCGAAACAACAGGCTACAAGACGGAGTTAACTGCTAGCGAATGGATCAATGGAGTGAACTTGCCAGTGCCAAAGATGAGCTTGGATCCAGCAAAGCGTGAATTAGGCGAGACACCAATTATAGTAAGTCTAAAGAACCTGTATTGGTTTTTATACACTCGTCGTCGTTGGCCTTGATTTGCTTACAAACATACACTAATTCAATGTTTCACTGCGCCATTAAACAGTTCTTCGTATCGACTATTCGTATTCATTTATGTCTTCTTTCTAATTTCTATTTCCTTCTGCAAACATTAACCTTACTGATATATTCAACCACCACTTCGGACACCTTTAGGTACACCGTGGTAATTTGAATGATTTAATTAAAAATATTGAAAATAAAAAACTGTCCAACAAAACACCAACCCTACAATCGCCCAGCAATGCGGTGGTGTCTGGTAATGTTTTGCAACAACGTAACGGCAGCGGCACCAACAATTTTTCATTGAAGACAAGCATCGGAAGTGACAAAGATGGCAACGTCAAAACGCGTTTGAACGACCACAACGTCAGCGAATCGGAGAAGGTTGACGAGGTTGGTGGTGCGGGTTTTACTAAAGCGGATCTAATACGCAAATTTGACAACAAATACAAAACTGATTCGGAGAAAGATTTTAAAGACTCGGAATTGTCTCGGCGCTTCAGTCGCGAATCGCCGGCGGATGAGTCGACGGGCAGCAGCGAGGAAACTTCAAATGCAACTGCAACCGATTTGTCATCGCCGCAGCAACAACAACAGCGTGAACGTGAAGGAAGTAGCGGCAGTGTTGGCAGTGGTGTAACCTCACCTCCCAGACCGATGCCACGCACATCACGTAACAATTCATTGGGTGATGCGGCTACTACCGCCACAATTGTAAGTGGCATTGGTGGGGATGAGGTCACACCACGTCCGCGACCGCGCACCACAGCGGCATCATCTTATAAGGTGTGCAGGGTGTTTTTCGATAGTAATGAGATGATATGATGCTAATCATCATAGTCATGTGCTCGGTCAGATTGAAGTGCAGAAAAGTGTAAGCTATTTAAGCAGATTTCGTGGGAAATATGTTTAGTTAAATATTAGCAAGAAAAATCAAAAAAGGTGAAAGGGAGTTTTTCAGGCTAAACCCCCTTAGCAGTTACTTTTGCGAATGTAATACCATCTCGTCACTTCAAATAGAAAATAAAAAAACGTTGTGGAAAAATTTTCCGATTTGGGTAATGTTTTGGACTAAAGGTTTTAAAATTTGTTCTAAAAATGTTTTTGAAGGGTAGATAAATTTTAAAAGGTGCTTAAAACCTTTTCGCTATTCAGGGAAAGGTATGTGTGGGCATCCCTACCCATACATTTACCGGAAGTGGTGGTCACGTACATCCCGCGGGTAGGGAAAATCATCAGATCAACAAAAATCATGCCGGCCAATCAGCTGTACATCCTTTCTGTTAAAAGCTATAAAAATCAAGATTTACCGGGAAGGTCAACCGTGTGTGCTCTTCAGAGTCACACGAAAAATTGAAACGTGTCTAGTTTGCTCCGTCGACGTAAAGACTGCTTTTGATAGCACGGAATATTGTCTAAGAGCCAGTTTCTCGGCGATAAAAGGATCCCCATTATCAAAAACCTACCCTACACATATGCAATGAAAACAAAACACCGCAGTTCCACAGAATTGGATAAGTTAACTCGTATCCTTCCGGCTTAGATTCATGACATTGACCTACGTATGTCCTGTAAAGTCCTTACCCAGATATAGATCTGGGTCGTTCCGGTTATGTATTCCCTACTCTCGTACGTACGTTGTAACAGATCGTCCTTGGCCGGGAATCTGCTTATTCAGCTGAATCTTGTCTGCACTTCAAATTAAAATAAATTTGTAGTTTTGAACCCGATATATCCCTTTCCGTTTCTATTTGACTTTTTTGTTCTGCAAATATGGTTCGTGTCTTTGTCGCACCGTCTTGGTTGTCTTTCACTTTATAATCTGCGTTGTAATTTTTGTTTGTTACTTCGATATTTGGTTTTAAAGTTGTGGTTTTTCACTTTTTAACTTTTAATTTGTCAAACTATATCTTCTGCTGGTCCTTTAATTTTTTTTTAATTATTCTTTTAACCATAACACATTTCACCGTCACACCACACTTATTAAGTAAAAAGCGTATGCACACTTTACAAATAATGTAACATGTATTTATTGATTTATCCAGCCACGCCTTGGGCCAAAGCCGTTCTCAAGTAATTCAGGCGATGTTTCGTTTGATAAAGTCTTTGCTGTACCAGTAGCTCCAGGGTCGCAAGAAAATATTCACAATCTATCCTCAGGCGGAACAGCTGATAATGGAGGAGATACTTTTTCTGCCCCAGCAACAGTGGCTGCCACAGCACAGAACAAGCCAGATTTGATTGTAGAAATTGAAATTAAGAGTAAGTGGCTAAAATCTGCCTTAAATAGCCCCCATTTTTAATGATTTATTAAATGATTTAAAAAATTTAATACCGTAGAACCCCATGTTGATAATGTCAGCGAAAGCAATGTACAGAAAACACTGTCGACCTCCGAACGTCGGAAGGTAAGCTTTAAAAAGACCAAATGAATAAAAAAGCAAATAATGTATGCATTTCTAATACTCAAATTAATATCTAAGCTAAAATTTAACTAACACATTCTAAATTCTCTCACATAATTAATTTTTCCTTCAATTGCTAACCGTATTTTGGCAACCTACACTCTCAAACACATACACCACAACAGTCTTCGGCTGATGCTGATGAATCGCCCGACAAGGTTATATTTTTTAATTTTTTAGATTTTGCATGTTACTTATTTTGATTTGAATGGCATATGTTTTCTCGCATTTGTGTAGATTTTTGAACAAACTCATTCAGAATCTTCGGAAAACTCAACTGAAGGTGATGATAAACCTGATGCGGAATTGCGGCGTTTCTCAGCTGCAAGAAGCAGTATTGCCGAACGTCGCCGTTTATATGAGAGTCGTTCAAAGAGCACGGTGGAGGAGAAATCGCAATCGCCAGTACCATTGTAAGTTCTAGAGCTCAAAATGAAATTACATTAGGGAAGTTATTTATTACATAATAAATGCACATAAAAGTAGATTAGTATTAAAGGCAGGCCTGGGCGTCACCGACTCCGCATTACTCTCGGAGCAACGTCGCGTGTTCATAATCACAAAATTGACAGCGAAAATTAGCCGAAAATTAATTACTGATTCATACTACTCTGCCTGAATTCAGTACGCTGAATTACGCTTAATTTTCGCCGTCAACATCGTGTTTACGAACACGTGACGCCACCCCGGGGGTACTGCGCAGTGAGGTGTGCACAGGCCTGATCATAGGGCAGAAATTTAAAATTAATGTACAAATTCTTTTCAGGCGCCGCGAGCTTTCTAAGGTCGAACCACTTAAGCCCCAACAACAGCAATCTTCTTTGACCACTCCTGCAACCGACATCAAACGTATTTCTGCACCTGAAGGCAAGCTTTTAGAGGAACGTCGCCGAAATGTTACATCCGTTATTGATGGTGGCACTGCCCTTAAGAAATCGTCCACTGAAGCGGCCATCACCACCACTCACAAACGCACCTCGACTGTTTTTGGCAAGGTTTCGAAATTCCGTCATCTAAAAGGCACCCCTGGTCACAAATCAACACATATTGAAAATTTGCGCAACCTCAGTCGCCAGATACCGGGTGAATGCAACGGCTTCCATGCCAATCACGAACGTGTTGCTGTACCGCTATCAGGACCTGGTGGAAAAATTGCCATTTTCGACTTAAGCCGTCCAGGTCGTCTACCGGATGGCGTAATACCATCTTTGGTGAATGGCAGCAACATAATGGACTTCCAGTGGGATCCTTTCGATTCGTCACGTTTGGCCGTTGCTTGCGATGATGGCATCGTTAAATTGTGGCGCATTCCAGAAGGTGGACTTAATGAGCCCACAAATTCGCCAGAACGCGAGCTAATTGCGCACTTGGACAAAATTTACTTTATTCGATTTCATCCCTTAGCCGAAGACGTTCTTTTGACGGCTAGCTACGATATGACGGTCAAATTGTGGGATTTGCGTACTTTAGAAGAAAAAATTTTGCTCACCGGGCATACAGATCAGATATTCGACTTAGCCTGGAGCCCTTGTGGCAAGTTGGTGGCAACTGTATGTAAAGATGGCAAGCTGCGCGTCTATAATCCACGAAAGTCGGAGACGCCCATTCGTGAAGGCAATGGACCTGTGGGTACGCGTGGTGCGCGTATCACTTGGGCGCTGGATGGGCAATATATCGTTTGCACTGGCTTTGATAAGTGAGTAACCCATGAAAATGTGAGGAGGCGTGGTGTGCTTACAGTTTTACTATCTTTTAGAGTTTCTGAGCGCCAAATAAGTGTTTACAACGCACAAAAATTGAATGCACCACTCAATACAGCCAGTCTCGATGTCTCACCATCTATACTGATACCCTTCTACGATGAGGACAGCTCGACCTTATTTGTAACGGGTAAAGGCGACTCAACCATTTACTGCTATGAGATCACCGATGAGGAACCATACATTTGTCCTTTATCGCATCATCGCTGCACATCATTACATCAGGGACTGAGCTTTCTCACTAAAAACCATTGCGACGTCGCGAGTGTTGAGTTCTCGAAAGCGTACAGATTAACAAACACAACTATCGAACCGCTAAGTTTCACTGTGCCACGTATTAAGGTAAATTGAAGTTAGCATATGCAAACACTTATTTGTAAATTATTTATAACATTTCAGAGCGAATTATTCCAAGATGATCTTTTTCCACCAACTCGCATAACATGGAAGCCTACAATGTCTGCGGATGAATGGTTTGCGTGCAATGATAGGAAGCCGATAAAATTGAGCTTACAGCCTGACGGTATGGAAGCCTGTAAGTGTTGATCGAATTTGAAATGTGTATTTTGGTTGTATGCTATTAAAACATTTTATTTGCTCTTGAAAAGTATCGTCCATTCAACAAGTGACGCCCGCCAAGAGGATTGAGCATGCGGGAAATGGCAGTAGCGGTTCGATGACAAGAGCAGAATATGAAAAAAACAAGCAACAAGAGGTAATTAAGTGTGTTTTGTTTAATTTAAACTATGTGTGTTTTTCCATTCCCACGACAGCCGGTGCTATGTACCGGAACGACTCTGGTTTTATCCGACCAAGGGTTGTTGTTTCGGCGGTCTAACCCTGTTTAGGCCAGTGAAATCTCTTGAAACGTTGTTCGTCCATGGAACAATATGTGTTTCGCAGTCTTCTGCTCAGGGCTAGTATCGACCAGAAACCTACACCTGCTGCATATGCCAGAGATGATTACACCCAAACTCCACCTCAGTCAGGTGCAATACCTGCAACGGGTGGAGTCACCTTAGAACCTGCTCAGGTCTTAGAATTCACCGGCAGTGGACCACGTCATTCGTGACCCCATGCTGCACAAACCGAGTCCACCTGAGCGAAACCACACCAACGCGAGCACCCCCAACACAGCCATAGAGACAGACACACCACATGGACAACCACAGCCCCACCTACTCGCCGCCACCAACAACTCCTTGCTCCTCCAACAATCTGCTCGGTGTGTCGGTCCAGGAAATATCCTAACATGATATCAGGCAATTGCAATTCCTGCAATTGGACGAGCAACTACGTGGGCCCCTGTTGTGCTGCTCAGTCGCCAATTCCCCCGCGATGCCGCCCACTACCACCAAACAAACGGCCGCCAAGCAACACCACAATTCTTTAACTCCCCACATTGCAATCAGTCTCCCAAGGCACACGAATATATTACAATTCAACTGTAATGGACTTTAGAGTAAGATTGAGGAGATAACCGTCTTCATGGGCCGTCATGGAAAATTGATAGCTGCCGTCCAAGAGATGAAGCTGCACAGCAACCTAACACTGTTAAATTTCACAGGATACATCGTGCACCGTCGAGATCGCGAGTGGTCATTACGTACCACACCTTGCATTATCATCTTATTGAAGCAAACATCAACCGCAGGGATTCCGTCCTAGAATGTCAGGAATTTGCTATCCGGTCAGGCGATGTCGAGCTCGATATATTTACTGTTTATATACCCCCTGCCAACAGCTGCCGGCAGGATACCACTCTGAAGTAGGTGCGCTCTTCTGTGGTGAAAACCGTATGGTAGTTGACGACTTCAACGCGCACCACGATCTTTGGCATTTAAGCTGATAGATGATTCGACATTCTGCCCCATGAACGATGACGCCACCACCAGGATTGTGGGTAGTTCCAGCACCTCGCCAGACCTAACAATTGCTAGCGCTGGTCTGATAAATAGCATAACACTGTGACCTATGCTAACGCTGGCATCAGACTATCTGCCCATAATAATCTCCATAAATAAGCCCACCGACTTTGCTTCCGCGGACCACCGAACCTATATCAACTTTAACAAAGCTGATTGTAACAGACGCTAACGCTCCTTTCCCCGTTTCCTGGGCCGAAGCGGCTGTTCTAGCCGATGAGCGTGATAGCCTTCGTCAGGCCGATCCCGGAGATCCCCGTATCAGGGATCTCAACGCGGAGATTCGGCAACTTGTAAACGTACATAATCGGAAGAAGGTGGAGGAGCATCTGAAGACTTGTAACTTCACCTCTGGTGTGAGCAAGCTTTGGTCAACCGTGAGGTCATTGTCTAATCCGACGAAGCACGACGACAGAGTCGAAATTTCCTTCGGCGACCATGC